AGATCAGCACGTCACAGTCGCGAGCCGACAACTCTTCCAGCTAGAAGAAGTTTTGGAAGTGAACACTACACACCAGGTTTCGGATCAACCCGACCCAAAAGATTAGCATCTCCTAATCATCAATTACGTCTTGTACGGCATGCTACTCGAAGACGCCAGGGAGCGAGAGTTTGTCCGCCGGCCCACCTCAAGGTTCTACTACGACTTGACTACAAAAGTGTTGTATTGTAGATCATATGATGGTTTGCTGCTTCGATGTCTTTCAAAGACGAAAGCACAGGAAGCTCTGCGCGAAGCCCATGTTTGTACCTATGGGGCTTACCAGCCCAGACCCAAGCTTTAGGATCGTTTGTGGAGGATAGGCTACTTTTGGCCTAGGATGGTCGGTGACGCAGTTGCTTATTCCAAACGTTTCATACATGCCAAATCCATACCAATTACATGCACTGACCTCTGAAGACCTGAACCCAACAACAACGTCATGGCCATTTGAAGCATAGGGGATGGATATCGTCGGGCCAATATCCCCACCATCAGCAAGGGGTCATTGATTCATCCTCGCAATCACCGACTATTTCTCTAAATAGGCCGAAGTCATCCCCTTAAGAGAAGTCAAAACTAATGACGTGATTAAATTCATCAAGCATCACGTCATATACCGATACGGCATACCCGACATATCATTCACGACAACGACACGCAATTCGTTATTCATGCATTCATCCGGTTCTGCGACAATTTAAGAATCCAGAACCTTTCCTCTACGACTTATAACCCTTCAGCGAATGGTTTAGCCAAAGTCTTCAACAAAACAATCGTCAAAATTCTGACCAAGCTGACCTCCACTAGCAAACGCGATTAGAATGAGAAGTTTGACGAAAGATTATGGGCGTATCGCACCACGCCTTACTCATTAGTATATGGCTGCGAGGCCGTGTTACCATTAGAGATTCAAATTCCATCTCTCCACATCACTCTAGCAACAGGGATGATGACCGAGGATAACCACCAACGGCATCTCATGGAACTCGAAGCGTTGGATGAATAGCAGCTTGAAGCCCAACAGCACATTGACACCAGGCCCGAATGGCTAAGGCTTTCGACTAGAAAGTCAAGCACCGATCCTACAAGGAGGGAGAATTGGTCCTCACTTTTCGACGACCAATGATTCTCAACTCTAAAAAGAAGGGTAAGTTCTAGCCCAAATGTGAAGGACCATTCGTAGTAGAGATGGTCTATTCAAATGGAGCTTATCGTCTTGTCAAATCAAAAGGTGATAAGATCATGATGCCTATTAACGGAAAATTCCTAAAGAAGTACTACCCTTAGGTCCTTATACTCCCACTAGTGCACGAGTCTAAACTGCCCCCTTATACTCCTACTAATGCATGAGACTAAACTGCCTTGTTATTCCTCCAATCGGTACACGAGACTAAACTGTTCCTAACTCGTATACCCTGACATACACACGAGTATGAGCCACTGTTTATGGAAAACTCCTCAAGGATACTACATAGTATTCTTAGGGACAACCCAACCCCCTACCTGGTCAAACCTTCCTACAATTAGGACCAAGGTTAGCTATCAAGTTAATTTCCACCTCTGATAGTCTCCTCCAAATTTCCCCCGTTGATCGTCTTCAATAGAACGATGGGATGAACTCCCAATGTTATGTTAACCCTTACCTCTGACAAAATCAACTTGCCAATCACCTCCAATAGGATGGTAAGCCCACACAGTTGCCCAAGTCGCAACAAGCAATCACGTTATGTTAACATCTACACCTCTGACGATATCAACTTATCAATCCTTTCCCATAGGATGATAGGCCCTCATAGTTGCCCTGATCATAATAAGATTCTATCAGGTTAATAATCACCTCTGATAATCGGCCTCGTCACTCCCACGAGTGTCACAGCCTGAGTAGTAACTTACCATGCCATGCGTTGCTACCCCGATCGATCGTCACACTCATACATCCCGGAATGACCCGACCTATTCCGAATGTTCTAATATTCTCTTAGAATGATCGATAGGTAGCAGCCCACCATGCGACGGCTCCTACAATAATCAATCGTCATACTCCTACGCCCCTGAACGATTTGATTATCCTGATATCATCATCCTCGTGAATGATGATGTTCATTAAGGGTGGCTTACCAGGTGACATGCTCCAATAAACTCCCGAACAGCAACTCGCCAAATGGTGAGTCATTGTTGGGACCCTGATTTGGTCGCATGCACAAGCAACCTCTCTGTTTGGGTTAGATTGTTAACCTTCAACATCTAAAACCTGCCTGAACTACAACGCGAGATTCAGAGTTAACCTAACCCCACGCCTCGAACAGCCAAGGGCGGAGGAGGATCTTAGCAATTAAGTCTAAGATAAACTCTATGAAGGCCCTCCACACTGCAGAAGACAGTGTAGCTAGATCGACTCAAGTGACAAATAGTAAAGGCAAGTCAAACACAATGACCGCCGAGGATTTGCTAAAAGTCCTAAGCATAAATCAATGCAGAAAAGTAAGGAAAAGCGACACGTGTAAAATCAAAATTAATCTAAGACATAACGCTATTCCAAGCTAAGTTTAAAAAACATCATGTTTCAGACGAAGATGCAACGAGCATCAGTAAAATTACAGCAGATCATAAAAAAGAAGAACATTCTAAATCAACTTCAATAGGCTGAAGGTGGCGATCCTAGCCTTGACATCCGCAAGTTCTGCCGCGTGCCTAGCTCGGACCTTCTCCTCCTGTCGCTACTGAAGCTTGGTGAGAGTAGCCTCACCATCCTCCTCTTCGTGACGAAGGATCTAAAGCACCTTTATCTCCTCCTCAGCGACGTGATAGACCCGTACTTTCTCACATTCGAGCTTCATCGGGCTTTCTTCTCCCTTAAGGGACTCGGCGTCTAAGAAGAAAGCGGCATGAAGATAGGCATCCATCTTAGCCAGCAAAGCACGATGTTGCTTGCGTAGGCGTCTAAGCTGAGCCTCCTTATCCACGACGCGCCTCATCAAAGCCTCACGTTCAAATAGGGCACTCATCGCGAGAGGCGTCGGCTCGTCTTTAGGGTTGTCATGAATCAGCCCCTCCAAGCGGTACATCAACCCCTCCAAACGGTGGAGCTCTCGCTCACATCGCTAGGCGAGCTGAGGGCCACCTACACATCGGACCTCATCGAGACGTTCAGCCACGAAGGGGAGCACGTCATAGTACCTTCCAACGCCTTGGCTAATGGCAGTGGCCGTCCTGCATAAGTCGTCCTCCAACTTTTGAATAATGTCGAGCGTCAGAGCGAGATTCATAGTGCTTAGCCCCTGGATTAGGTTGACAGAGGCGGTCGGTGTGACATCAGTACCAACAACAGCAGAGGAAGAGGCGACCCCCTTGCCCTTAGGAGCCATGTTCAGGATGTGGACTGCTCTGCAAGAAT